AAAAAAATGGCTCAATAATCATTAATTACTAGGTGTATACAACAGTCTGTTATATCTTTACTGATGCTTAAACCTTAGGAGTGAAAACAAAGAAGAATGGGCAGTAATTTGTCAGCCATATTCAGTGCTGATGAAGGTTTTTGTCCAATACCAGAACTTATAAGGCAGGCTGGGACATGACACTATATCATCAGTTGCATGAACAACGACTGTTATGTTGTAAACTATTGTTTGTTTGTAGTTATGCATAAAGCTACACAATGGGCTATCTGTGCTATGCCCACCACGGGTATCGAAACCCGGTTTCTAGCGTTGTAAGTCCGTAGACATACCGCTGTGCCACTGGGGCGTTGTGAACTAGATAATATAAGTGTTATTAATGTTTATTTTGCTTACGTAATTTATAAATGATTAATAACCCATTGTTTTTTATTTTATTTCTAACTCGAATTATTTATTATTATTAATTTGAATCAACTCCTTTATTTGAAATACAAAACCTAAATTCAAAGACAAAAATATATTCAGAGGTCACGCTTAGCGTGTGTTACCATTACCGTTGAGCGAATTCACACATTCAAGGAAAAAAATGAATAATTAAAAAGAAATGTTTAAAATCGTTGTAGAAGTAAAGAGATAAATATTCGGCGTTTGAGCCAGGAAATAGTCACCAGGGCCTTGGATTTGTTCATTATATCCTGTGCAATTATGTTTTGTTTTGTTATTTTATGTAGGAGAATATATAAAAAATTATTGAACCATATAAAAGATGTTTACCGCATTCGTTTTGTTACGGATTTCGCGCAAAGCTACACGAGAGCCATCTTTGCTGGTCGTCCCTAATTTAGCAGTGTAAGACTCTTAGGCTACTCTTTTACCAACGAATAGTGAGATTGACTGGCACATTATAACGCCCCCACGGCTGAAAGGGCGAACATGTTTGGTGTAATGGGGATTCGAACCCGCGACCCTCAGATTGCGAGTCGAGCGCTATAACCACCAGGCCAAGCACAAAGTAGATACCACAACAAATTCATGGAAATTAACATAAATATAGCGGCATAACAAAATTGTATATCAGTGTTAAACTTGGCTATATTATTGTGCAATATATATATATAGTAACTCAAGCATTAAACATCCGCGACATAAGTAGTTCAACACAATATTAGATTGTAAGCTAGTTAAGGTAGTGAATTAGAAAAAGTCAATGAATTGAAAGACACTACAATGCAACATTTTTAATCTCATCAATAGTATGTAATATACAGAAACCAATCGACTACATTTGGTCTTCGATTTCTAATGACAGTTAAATGTTATTGTGTTTCTCTTCATTTTTCCATTTGCTTTTTAATTATTATGTGTATATTCTCACAGCAACCGTCGAAAGTGCGAAGTATAATATTTTTATATTCTACAATACATAATTTTATTACATCTTTCAGCAAGAAATCTGAGGTCTTATAACGCTATAAATCGGGTTTTAATACTCTCGGTGGGCACATGTGTTTTTTCTTATAGCAAAGCCAGAATGGGATACCTGCTGTGTCCACCGAGGGGAATCGAACCCCTGATTTTGGGGTTGTAAATCCGTAGACTTACAGCTGTTCCACTGGGGTACCGGTGGGCACAGAGGACTGTGTAGCTGTATTTAAACAAAATATAATTAGTTACGTTTCCCTTAAAGTGGACCGAAATACACAAAAATTTGACAATTATGTAACATTAGATGAAAATCTAAAAGGTATTATTGTTATTTAATCTAGTCGCAGCTACTTTTTATTGAGTTTCATTTGAATGATTTATCCACCATTTTTAATAATATGTTGTCAATAATAAATAATTATGTGAGGAAGAAAATCAGTTCTGATATGTTATTGTAAGGAGTATAAAAGGATTTATATACATGTAATTAACCTAAGGCCAATTGCGTGAACCTTCATTTTAAATTCAAACCTTATCTAAAATTCATATAGACTTCTCTTTCCCATTGTACCTGGCTTTAAAGCTAATATTTAGGTCACTAATTTATTCAAAATGGCATTAGTATTAATGACTTGATTATGAACTAGCTTTACTGTGCCTATGTTAGATTTTACTTGCTTCAAGACTTTGGATTAGTGTTCATGCTTTTAATATACAAATTTTACTTTTTTACAAAAATTGTCATATAGTGTTATTAAGGATGAATATCATTAGCGGTGGCAAATATAGAAAAGAGATAAAACGAAGAGTAAGAATAGCAAAAACGGCATTATTCAATCTTAAGGAATTTCTCAGAAGAGACAATAAACTAGAACTAAAAAAGAGACTTAATAATGAACGAAATAACTCTTACCTCGGACGCCGCCATCTTGATTTTCGTTCGATAAGCATTAGCATAAGCATTGAAAAACAAGTAGGGATCCTATAGTCCCTGAATTTTCTCAGTGTATAAAATGGCCTATTTTGTGTGTAATAATTTTATATAGGCTATACCTTCAAAGTAACATTGTAAAAATGAATTTAGTTACGACAATATTTAGTACGTGCGCAATATTCCAGACTGCTTAAACTGTCGACTACGTTCGTCACTTACGAGGTTCCCTTCAAGTAATCAACATCTAGACATTTTTAACTTGGCTATATTATTGTTTGTTTGTGTGTGTGTGTTCAATTTCCAACTTTGTATAGCAGGCAGCTGCATCGCCATCCTTTATGAAAAATAAGACAAATTAAAATAATTACAAAAAGTATTAATTCTAACTTAAATGTATATAGGACGATATAAACTTTTTTCTTCCTGTTAAACTTATTCATTATTTATATTCTCACTCTTGTTATTGTAATCTTGTGTCTTTACTACACTTACATTGACATAAAGAAGTCACACATTTATGCACTAACACTTTATTAATCCAAAAGTTTATTACCTTTCAGCTCATTTTGATTCAGTCTTATTCAGCTTCTTCTCGTCTAGGGGTAGGAGTATCATATTATCCAACAATTACAGTATTGTTGAAATAAAGTTACATTCGTATAGAGTTCTTCTCAAAATTACTTTTTTTTCTAAAGTATTATTTTATCGGAGAGTGTTTGTGTGCTGTTAACTGTGATTCTTTCAGAGATTTGTCACTTACGTTTATTAGAATAAAGCATTAGTTTTAACCAATTTTTATTTTATTTTTGAGAATATGAGCAGTTGGCATTCTGTCTTCTACTTATTTCATGTGTATCTGTAAGCAACAACTAAAGATGTTATAATTTCATTGCATACACCATTGGTTAGGTCATTTGGAATGTTGTTTTCAGTCTTGGGCTTCTTACCTTAGGAATGGCATTCAATTATTGGAAATGGTTCGGGGGACAATTATTAGGATGATATCTGGGATGGAAAGGTTGCCGTACAAATATAGGTTAAAATTTCTGATTTTTTTTTTCTAGAAAGAAGAAAGGAATTAAAGGAGCTTTGATTAAGGTGTTTAAGATTGTTAAGAAAATTACCAGCGTTGATGCATCATCTTTTCTCGTACTTAATGATGACAATAGTAGGGCTAGGGGACACAAATATAAATGTGGGCATAGTAGGCGTAATCTTCAGCCAAGACAGGTTTATTTTCCTATCAGGATGGATGGCCTATAGAATGGATTATCTTTTAATGTGCTTGATACAGATATTTTATGGGAGTGTAAAGTAAGGCTTGGTAAATATTTGAATAGCTGGCTTTAAATGTTTTATTTTGAAGTATAGTTTGGAGGATGAGACAGCTTAGATGGTCCTTAAATTATATATATGTATATACATATTTCAGTATTTCAAAAATAGAAACATCCATACCCGAACGTCAGAGATCTCTGCCTTAGTTGGTCCACGTGCACATAAAATGTTATTCAGTTTGAAAATTCCTGTTGTAGTTTATGTGATAAAAAACAAAAAGACTAATTTACAAATGTTTGTTGTCGATGTAATCTGAAAATGATTTATTTGTTTATTGTTAAGCTTAAGGCTATACAATGGACTATCTGTGCTCTGCCCACGCAGGTATAGCAACGCGATTTTTAGTGGTATAAGCCTTCAGATTTACCGCTGAGCCACTGGAGAGCTTGAAACTGAAACCTTGACCAATACATCATCTCTACAAAATGCGTTATGTTTTAATATAAGAGAATATATTTTGAAAAGCAGAGATATACTTTTTTAGCATTTTTTAAAAATTTTAATGAACATATTTAATAACATTTTAAGGTATACATGTTATTATGCGTTTTGCTTCTGCGTGCGATTAGATAGCAAATTCCACAAGAGTGAGCCACCATCTTAACCTCTTTCCTTTACTACATCTCGATCCATCAACTTCTAACGTCAGAAAAATACTCAAGCCTTCGGTTTAGTTAAGCCTGAATTCGTACCTGCCCAAGGGCTAGGTGTGCTTTAATAATTATGAAGGAAGAATCAAGGTGTTCATTTTGTGTGAAGCTCTTTAAATGGTTTCCAGTCTTGTTTATAACTGCTGTCATTGGTTGGTCATATTACTCCTATGTTATTCAGCTGTGCTTCCGTGAGTTGATAGAGTATACATACTCGGTATTTAGTCTTAATTAAGTCAGTTAAAAGTTAGGCTTATGACTAACATTAACAGTATTAAACTTTGAGAGCAGTGTTAATAATTAATTATCATTATTCATGATTTCATTTTCAATCATTCTAAACGTATAATTATCTTCTAACACAGAATATGTGATATAAATTATGTAATCTAAATTTGTTTGTTGTGCTTTTAAAATGTTTCGAAAGTTTGTGTAATGCCTCTTTATAATATAAACTGTGTAAGTGTAACTGTAAGTTGTAACAATTTTTGAACCATTTCCAATGATTTGGAAGTAGTTCAAAAACTAGGCTCTAGGCCTTTTATATATATATATATAAAGCTTCTTAGTTAATGCTGATGCAATGGATATGGTTTCTCAATTCCACTGGAGCATGAATTACTCTTCAATTTTCAAATTCAGGTTTCACTTTCAGTATATGATCCTTCTCAACCTTGTATAATTAATTTACTAATAATGAAAAAGTAAACATTTAAGATTTTATTTTATCTCGAATAAAATTTTGTTATTTTTCGTTATAGTGAATGTAAGAGCATAGGCTGCAGAACTGGGGTGGGGGCACTGGGAACACATACCCCCCTAATTTTTACCTGATAGTAAATTGCCCCTTTGAATGGAACATACATAGACTGCTTGTGTATAATTAATTATTAGAGAAAGTCATTGTTTTGACTTTGAACTTAATGATCACAGTTAACATAGCAAATAAGGTGTCCCAATCATTGGTATCAACCCCAAATCAAAATTTGTTAATCTGCCCATGTGTAACAGTGTAGGTATAGATGAAAAGGCTTTGAAAGTATATTTAAATGCTCAAGTTTTAATTCTTCTGGTCATCCCTATAAATTTTAGCTTGGTATAATTGATCATATAAATTATACGAAGCTGAAGTTTAGAGGGATAACCAGGAGAATTAAAAACTTGCCATACATAATAATTTAACTAAAGGCTGTATAACATTTTCAGGTAAGTGAAATATTTTAAAAACCTTATTAAGATCCTAAATTTTGGTGAAGTTAAAAGGAGCATGATTTGCCCTCAACTTAAAAAATTTCAATGTTTTATTAACAAAAATATATATGAACTAAAATATTTTTTAAAATAAAATATCTGAGACAGCACTGATAACATTGCCTGCATGATGCTAACAGCTGCAGAATCACAACTAAATATACAAAAGAAAATAGAGAGATACAACAAGTAGGTAAGGCCTATGTACATTGTAGTGATAAATTAAAGATAATACTTTCCATAATTAGCAGCAGAGTATATAAAATGAAATCAGTTTGTTTGTACATACAGACAGCCTGGGACAATTTGATCTTTCAAAGCTGTTCTTTTATACCCTTCCTTGGGAAAAGTAAACATTTAAAGCCACCATTTATATTTCAGGGAATCATCAGTTCCCCTTTTAAATTCCTGTAAAGTGCTACTTTTAATGGCAGTTCATTCCAGTAATCAATAAATCCGCTAGAAGAATAAAACTATCTTACCTAAAGCATAGTCTATCTTTTCCAAGTTTTAAACTTGTGTCCTCTCATCCTGTTATCTTTAGAATATAATACAAAGAAATTGGAGCCTTTTACTTATCAATATCCCAGATAATCTTACAAACATCAATAAGATTACTACTTACCCTTCATTTCTCAAGAGAATATAAATTAAGAGATCATAACTATTCCTTTAAGATAACCTTTCCTCCAAGGATCCATTATAGTAGTCCTTTCTCTGAATCCTCTCCAATAACTCAGTATCTTTTCTTAGCTAAAAAGACCAAAACTATCACTGTTCAAAGTGAGGTCTAACTTTTCTTAAGAGTAGGTGTGCAAAGAAAGATTAGAAGGACCCAAGGCCAATGGTTCCTTGTTCTTCACAAATTGTGTTATATTAATTATGTGGCCTAAATTATAACAATCCAAGTATATTACCTTTCACTTACTACATTTAAAGGTCTTTTATCAAATATTTATACAACTTACCAATTGATCAAAGTCAGTCTGTAATATCTGAACATTCTGAACAGTAAAATATACAAATTATGCTATTAATGTAAATAAGATTAAATAAAAAAAGACCCAAATACTATTCACTTGTGCACTTCACTAGTAATACAGGTTGAGTTTCATTTGACTCCATGAATAACCTTTTGAATTCTCCCATCCAACCATCTTAAATCCAATAATAAGTTTTTCTTCAACCCCTACCAATGTGATGTTCTTAGATAACTATTTGTATGGCACCTTATCAAAAGCTGTTTAATAATCTAAGTATATCAAGTCCACACCGTTCCCTTCACCCAGATGAAAAATAATATCCTCAAAAAAAAAATTAGTAAAGTAAGGTTTTATTTTCTTTAGTGACCCCATGTTGGCTTGTATTTATCAGGTTGTTTAGAGTGTTTCAGAAATACAGAAATTTAAACTAACTTGTCTGTAATTTTCAAAACAACTCTTATTGCCCTGTTTACTGAAAAAGTAGTAGCTTAAGCAACTTGCTAATATTCACTGTCTGTTGATCTACCAAAAATGAAAGAGAATGAGGCTTGCATATTTGATCTTTGATTTCCTTTAAAATCCTGGTGAAAACCTTGTCTGGTCCTGGAGCATTATTTTCAATTTTTCAGTCTTTCTACTTGCCATGTAGAGATTAATATTTACATGATTTTAGTGAATTTTAGTATTTATCATGAAATGCTGAGCGTTGGGAATATTGCTGGTATCTTCTGATCATTTAACCCTTTATCAACATTGTCAACATTTGGATATATGTACTATAACATTTTGCTCACCTTTAATATGTATAAACATGTATCAGCTAGCAGTTTCTCATAAGCCCATTTTAATTTTCTAATTTCTTTAATAGCCACCCCACCTCCTGTTTTAAAAGTCCACCACCATTAACTAACTTATAATCTGGAATTGAATATATAATTCCTGTTATCAATGTTCTCTACTCCTAACCAAGTTTCAGTATTTCCATTATATCACAATCCAGGGAATAATTTATTCAGTATTGTGTCACACTTTGGGATCCAACTTGGTCCTAGTTGTGTTTCAGTCATACCTTGCTTAGCACAAACTGTGATACAATTCTTATTACAACAATTGTATAATCAGGATCTGAGTATTTTTTAATTATCCCTAATTTTTATTATTCTCTATGTACAATTCATAAAGGCAAGTGATGTTCAGTTTGATTATAATATTACTGGATAAAAATATACATTTTTGAGGAGTTAACCTAACTTATGATTTGTTTTGTTTATATATCTTGGAACATGGTCTGATTTTCATTTTGGAAGATAAAGATATATTTTGGTTAGGAAAATATATTGTCAGTAGGCCTAGAGAGAAAATACATTTTACAGTAGAATTTTCAAGGATAAGAATTCCTAGAAATAATAAGTATAGTGTTAAAATGTTTTTTTTACAGAAAATAGTCTTTTGAATATTTTTTTTCTACAATTCAAATAATTTAATGCAGTATTTTGCTTTTGTAGATTGCTTGCACCTGGGACAACTAGTTAGCATTGTGCTGATACAGTGATATTAAAATTTTTCCAACTGCTATCCAGAATTGTTTTGTTTTTTATAGTTGATGCTGTGCAAAATATTTAAAACAAATTACCCTGTAGCTTTTAGAGTTGGATGATTCGTAGTGTTTGCTAATCAAATAATAAATGGGCTCATTAATTGATTAAATTTAAATTATTGATTAGTACATGCCTCCTACAACTCTCCCATTTCCATTCACATTGTTTTTAGTATTTTTATGTAATTAAAAAATATTGATATTCTGGACATTTCTTACTTAGCAAATTAATTATTAATGTTGACTAAATACCACTAAATGGTTGCCATTATGTTTGCTTTTTAGATATGCAGTAACATCACACTGATCTTCTGTAAATCGAATAAACTGATAAATAATGAAAACATGTTCTACTATTACCAGTAAGCATAATAATATTCAATAATAATAGTCAAAATAATATTCAATAAAGATTTGAGTCATCAGAATATTTTGCAGTCACCTACCATATTTACTAAACAGTAAACTTATCTGATTCGATGTCTTTATTTTATTTGGTGAACATAATAAAAAAAACACATCATGTTTACAAATATTGCAATTAATAAAACCATTTAAGAGGTAAAATCACCATAAGTATATATATATATTCCTGTCTATGTAAATACTTGTACCTGATGATGAAAACCTTTCACCAAACATTGTATATTTGTTACTGTATTAAACTTGTAATTAAGTTTTCTTTGTTACCCATTCAAGTTGTTGAAATATAGTTAGAATTAACGTATGAGATTGACTCCAAAATTTGGCTCAAAAATTTTATAAAGTGGAAAAAACATGAAAAGCCAGAGGAAGCCGTGTCTTCAAAGTTCAGACACAATAATTTAGAATGAAGTTACATTTTTATACTAAACTTTGCATGTGAAAATGTACCATACAGGTAGTGCACAAGATTTATTCACTTAGTTTCATGTTGTAACAATACTGTGTACACCTTTCATACTTTTTATTCTAGACAATTCAGTATTGTTTTAGGATTATGATGGAACCTTAAGTGTTGTATCTACAACGATGCAGTTACTCAAAATGCTTTTTAATAAATCAAGAGATATGAATAATTATTTTATTTATTAGGTAAATGAGTATTTAGCTAAAATAAAAACCTAGTATTTTTGATATTATTCATGAAGCCCAAATTTGAAGTCAACATAAAAATTAGAACAACCTCAATTTATTTTATAAAACAAAACTTTTGATTATTATAATATCTTACAAAGTTTGAGAACTGTTCAGAAATAAGTAAGAATAAAAACATAAAGTTTATTCAGATATAGTATTATTGTGTTAACAAATATCATTTGACTTCTTTACACTAGCTGGTGTGATACCAGTTACCTGTTTTATAAAGTTAGCTGTGTAACATTTGAACCCAATTTTCAGTAATTGTTAATATGAAAAAGAGACTTCCACTACAACATTATACTATTTTGGATTAATAAGTGTTGACCATATTATCCTAAAATAAATTAATCAAAGTTAAAATAACATTAGTATATTCTTTAAATGATTAACTCAGTCAGGTTATGATCTAGTGATTTCAAAATTTGTATCTGTATTTCTAGTAATGTGATTGGTATGAAAATGAAAGTTAGAAACAAACATTAGTGCTATATTAAACTTGTAATACTTAGTTACATTTATGACTTAATTTATTGTAAATTAAATTAATCAACTGTTGAAATAATTGGAAACATTAATTTCAATTAATTGATTATTTTTATGACATTAATTAATTAATCAGTTAGTTTATGAGACACTAATCAGTGTAATCACTGCTTGTAGTTTAAATGATTATATTGATTAATTTGACCATCACTAGTTATCTTCCATTTCAACTTGAACCCTGAACTCATCCATTTATTCCTAATATTAGCAGCTAATCTTATTCTTAAATCTGTTGTGTTTATTTTCAAATATTTTCTTTTGTAACTAAGAAATTAAAACATAGATAATATAAAAATTTGAATTATAAAGTATGTTTTAATGTCAAGTTTATTGACATAAATTGCTAATAAAGAAGATCAATTATCTCTTAATATCACTGCCAAAAGGTCAAGCCGTGCACTTTAACCTACTCTATCCAGAGTGTTAATTGATTAGTGTTGTTACTTATGAAAATAATCAACTAATCAAAATTAGTGTTTCTGATTATACTATTTTTGATGATTATAACTATCCATGATTAATTGAGTATGAAATTTTACTAATTGCCCACCTTTAGCTTTATGTCTTAATAAAGGTAGGAATTTCATTATAGATGTGAAAGGTTAATCTTGATGAGTAACAACGATCTAAATTGTGTTTTTGTATACTCAGTTTTAGATGCATTATCAAGTATGAATAGTGTACTTTATTGCTAAAAATGTAACATTTATTTCACTAGAAGTAGGAGATCTGAGAGTATCATTCATTAAATGTGGATAAAGCTGAAAAGTGATATTCTAATTCTGTTTTTACAGTAACTGTGGAGGATATGGATGAGAAAGGTAAGCCAGAATTAAATACAATTCATTCCAACTAAAATTTGTCCATCACTGAGTCAGCAGCAAGTCTACTGACATACAACTCTAACTAAAAACAGGGTTCAATTCCCCGAGGTGGAGACAGCAGATAGTCCAATGTAGTTTTGCTCTTAGACAAACAACTGAAGTTTATGTAACATCATATATTCTCATAATAGTATATTTTCTATGAAACTAAATATTTCAAAGTTTTCTTGTCATGTAATTAAAATACAGATATGTGTGTGATTGTAAACATGTAGCTTGATGTGCCATGAATATAATGAATATTGTTCTGTGTATAAAATCATCATGTTGGTGCTTTGATAAACTGTTAATAATGTGTATGTGTAAGCTTTCCTCTGTGTTTGAAATCATTGTTTTAATAACATTGATGGGTTGAAACTAATACATTAAGAAACACTGGTACGTTTTACCCTCTATGAGTGAATGATAAAGTTTTGCACTTTTATAAATATTTTTATTTTTCATTCTTCTTTGTAAAGCTAGTTTGTGGAAATTGTACTAGATCAAGGTATTTTAAGCAACCTGCTCGTACCTGGATATGAACTCTGATCCTCTTAACTCTTACCAGTGCTGCAGCTGATGCTGTAGTAAAGCTCAAGCCTCAAGTAAACACTTTCACATCTCATCCATTGCAAAATTTTAGTGTTAGTGTGACATTCGTCGAGCTGTTGTACTGACAGGATCATTTTGTTCTTTGGTAGGCTCAATTGATTGAAAAATGGTGTCAATGAAAAAAAAATAGCAAAGAATGATAAGTCAAGCAGCATTAAGCAGCTTTTACGGGTTCCTGTAAATTTAAATATAAATTTGATTTTAATATATTTATTGCAATTTGTAATTTTTTGTTCACAGTTTGTTATCTCATAACCTATCATCCATTACTTGTATTGTTCCTGTGGTCCTACTGGCAAACAATATTTACAGATGTATATTCCATTCCAAAACAGGCAAGTGAATCTTAAATATTGAATTAAAAACTATTTGCTTGACTGAAAGTTTCTGTGATGCTGTAATACACAATAAGGAATAACTTGTACATTAAATTGTGTCATATTATATGTATATATTTCAATAACTCTTGGCTTTTATCACACTACAAACACATACAAACTTGAATGTTTATTTATTTTATAGCAAAAGAATGATTGAAAAGTTTAATATTATAATTGTGTTAAATGATTTTTGGAGATAAATTTACCCTTTGTTTTAGGCTTTTGACAAGTTACCTACATGTATGTAATGTAAGAAATATGCAACAATTTTGTTTTTATGAAAACTGGATCTGGGTGACTTTTTTTTCAAACCTTGTGTGTGTTTGGCTGATTTTAAAACAGAAATAGGATACTAGAATGCCTTAATAGAAGTTTTAAGCTTTGTTAACTTAGGGAAAGGGGGCGGGACATGCACATTAGTGTGTGGAATGTCTTGAAAAAAGTGAAGAAAAGTACTTGTAGATTAATCCCTGCACACTTGTTTGAAATCAAATTTTAAGCTTTTTATCTTATTCAGGAAGGGTATGGACAAATCAGCTGTTAAATTGTGTTAAGTTCTATGTTAATGATAAGTAACTTTAACATTAGAAGTAGTAATTTTGAGCTCTGTCATCTTTGTTTATGGTATATATTTCTTTTAATATTTTAAATTTTTACAGCAATTTAAGTTATGCTGTATTTTGTGTAGGTTTCTCAAATATATTTAATTTTAATATAATAAGAGTTGATATTTGGGTAGGCCTAAAAGCTTGCCTGTGTTTTTTTTAAAACGCCAAGGGTTTCTGATGTTCTATGTAGGAATTCACATGGAAAATTACTTTTCTAGAATGTGTTGTACAAGTAAAAATTGCGGAAATGTAGTTTTGTTTTTAAGAGACATTTGCCTACGGTGTGTGTGAGAGAAACATTGGTGTTATTGAAAAAAAATTGGTGTTGTAGTTGGGAAGAAAAGGCTTACAGCTTAGAATTCAGCTATGATGATGGGAAATTTTAACTTAAGAGTAAGAAATTTATTTTCTTTTATAAGACTATATTGAAACTGTATTGATAGTACTGTGTGCAGTTTTAGTCTGTTTATTGGAAAGATAACATGCCGTAAAAAAGTGCAGAGGCAAGCTACTTGAATGATACGTAGTTTAAAATATTTGGGTTACATTACATGAAGAGAGGCTTAAAGATGTGTAATTGTTTTTTTTTGAAGTAATATGATTAAGATTTGAAATTGAAAGGGCTTGGATAATCTGTATTTGAGTTGTTTTTTGAGTGACAAAATAATATTGGAAATTCCAACTTGAATATTAGGAGTAATAAGTTTGGCTTTGCAAATGTAGAAACCCAACCCAACCCTGCCTACATAACCTTCCTCAAATCATCCTGTATCATCGTGTATCATCAGTGTATCATCAGTTTGGTGCTGATTGATCAAGAAATGTGGAAATGTATAAGGAACAGATACACACACATATTGATGTTTGTTTATGTAGATTAAAATATATGAATTAAAAGCTCAATTAACTATTTTTTCTTTTCCTGTGAAGCTGGATCTATATTATAATAGAAATTTTATTGGAATTGGTGAAAATTGATCCATTTTGTAGAAAAACATAAATAAATAATTATAAAATCAGGTGTATTAGTTGCAGTTTCTTTTCTAGTTTAAAATACCAGCTGCTGAATTTGAGAAACTCCAAAAAGAACCAAATGAAGAAAATCAGCGTCGTCTTCTTGAACAGTTGTCAACAGACCTCCCTGTTTTGTGCCGTACTTTTAGTGGTGGTAAAGTACCAGTCTGTATTTAATTGCTGTATATTTAAGTTCACATGTAATCATTTAAACAAAATATACTTATTTGTACTTTTGATATTCTAAAATAATTTAGTCAGATACATTTTAGTAAAATTAAATGTTTTTGTTATTGATAATAATTGAACAAGAATAATAAAAATTGTTAATTTAAAAGGGGGGATAGGGACCATCAAAAAGTACATAAAAAAGTTGAATCAAAATGCAAAGATTATATTTCCAAGCCTACAACTGGGGATATTTCCAAGCCTACAACTGGGGATTCTTAAAAAAAAAAAAGGAAATAAACAAGGCTGGAAATAGTGTATACATTATTTTCTCAAGCTACAAATCTTTATTTTGACTCCAAATGTAAAGTACTTATCAGTTTTAGTGGAGTCAAAGTAGGGATTTGTAGGATTTACTAATCTTGTTTCTTAAGTTTTTTTTTTTTATGTTCATGTATGGTGAATAAATTTTAAGCTATATACGTGCATATGTGTTCTGTTGATTGTTACTTGTTTTTGAACAGTTTACTGCTGCATTGGCTTTTTTTCCACCCAACCACCACACTAATCTTGCTCAAAATAAATAACAAATGTATGACAAAGAATAAACACATCTACTGGTGCAACTACAACAAACAAAATGAAAGTTCGATGACGTGGAACCCACTTTGAGACTAATAATGCTTGGAGACGGCTTGAAAGGGTAATGAAAAAAAACTTTAATATAAGTTTAACATTACAGCAAATGTGC